TATTTGTTGACTCAACTAGAACAAATTAGAGAGTAGGATTTATTGTTATCCCTAAAGTGAAATTCGGTTCAAGATAAATTGATTAGAGCCATCCTACAAGCTATCAATCTACCATACATGTAAAGCCCCGGAGAAATACAAGCACATAATTTATTAAAGAGATTCAGTAATGTGTCTAATTATATACATTTTCAAACTTCGTTAAATATTACTTCTACACACAACTACAATTCGTGCTCATCCGCATTTTACATGATCATAAAACTTGAAAATGTAGTTGGAATTTCTCAAATTTTATTATCCCTCTTCTTATCTATACTCAGTTCACTATAAGATCTCTAGGATCAGGAACACATATCTATACCCAAAACTCTTACTTCATGATACTTAAGCTCTCAAGCGCCTTTTTCCACATCGAATGCGAAACACGTAAACGATTTTTTGTTTTTCTCTTCGTGAATTTTGTGGTCCAATTTTCTTTTGAAAGGTTAACAACATTTCCTAATCGCATGGAGAAATTTCTCCTTTAAATTCTATCTTTACCACCTATTTTTCGGTAGCAACACTTGACATGACACACAAGATTCGACAGACTCTAAAAACGCATAGGTTCGATAAAAGACATAAAATAACATGAGAAATAAGGACTCAAAGCCTAAGAAATCACAACTTACAATTGCAATTAATGTTTTAAAGACGGTAAGAGACAACATGTGTTTGTAACGTTGGTGTAGATGATGAAATCTAATTAAGTAGACTACAAAGAACAGATGATGTGTCAACAATCCTAATTGTAAGAAGTTTTATGGTCATTTAAGTACATTATTTGAGAAGTGATTTGTGAGAAGATACTTATGTATCATCGTCACAATTACTCTCACCAATATAATGTGACATGACTTTTGTGAATCAATAACAAAATATTCTAAAAATAAAAATTATATATATTTCCATAAACAAATCAAAAGAGTTTTTAATCAATATTTTATGAGATTTTCGTTTTTTTCATTCTAAAATTATATATAAATTTTGTGTTTTTATTTTAAAATAGTTTAGAAATTGATTATTGTAATAATAATAAAATCCTAGAACACTTTTATAGAACATATATTCTTTTGCCAATTAATAATAAAGACTTACCAAATTTTTTAAAATTTTTTTGATATGTTTGTGAAACCAACTTTCCAAATTTATAACAACAAACATAATTATTCTTTTGTAAATTTCATATTTTATATATAAAGTTATAAGCAAATAATAAAATATGTTATGAATATTTTTATAATCCCTTATACATTAATTGATAAGTGATTTGTGAGAAGATGCTTATGTGTCATCTCAACAATCACTCTCACCAAAATAATGTGACATGGCTTGAAAATAATGTGACATGACAATTTTGAATCAATAACAAAATATTGAAATTTTTTTAAAAATACCACTTTTCAAGTCCACTTTTCAAAAATGCCATATTTTCAAAATATTTGCAAAAATGCCACTTTTTTAAAAAAATAAAAAATTATTATAACATTTATGTTTTGATTAACTATGTTGTATTAAGGTTTAGTTTTGAGGATTTAAATGGTTTTAGGGGTCAAAATGGTTTTTAGGGTTTATAATTTTAAGATTTAGGTTTTAAAAATCTATAAGTAGTGGCATTTTTAGAAATGGACACCCCTAAGTGGCATTATTGCAAATGTACATACCAAAAGTGACATTCTTGCAATTACCCCATATTGAGAATTTATATGTTTCCATAAATAAATCAAAAGAGTTTTTAATCAATATTTTATGAGAGTTTTGTTTTTCATTCTAAAATTATATATAAATTTTCGTTTTTCATTTAAATTTTTTTTAGAAATTGATTATTGTAATAATAAAATTCTAGAACATTATTATAAAATATATATTATTTTCTCAATTAATAATAAAGACTTACCAATATTTTAAAAGATTTTTTGATATGTTTTGTGAAAACAACTTCATAAATTTACAACAACAAACATAATTATTTTTTTGTAAGTTTCATATTTTATATATAAAGTTATAAGAAAATAATAAAATATCAGTGTGAGTATTTTTATAATTTACATAAAATTAAAAATAATAATGTTTAATATAAATGTCCAAATTCAATATTGAATATAACAAAAAACAGTACTTATCTAAGACCTATCGGAATAAATGATATTTTGATTATAATGCAAACACAAACCAAAATCAAACCATACAATATTATACATCCTAAATATTTTTATTTTGGATAATTTTATTCACAAATAGAATAATTCAGACGAGTTTAATCAAATATATAGTATTGAACAGAATTGATCATAATATGTTGTTTTTGTCAAATTTTCATGCTATAAAAGAATTTATACACACAGTAGTAATATTTTGGTGAAATGTGTAAATGAAAAGGTTGACACTATAACATCAATAGAAATGAAGAAATGTTTAGAGAAGACAAAATCTTACTTAGTTATTTAAAGAGAATTGTAAATGAACTTATTGTCAATGTTATTAGTGAAATTAGAATTAGTGCAAACAAATTAAAAAAATAAAAATAATATTATTTCATATAAAGAAAATTGAACTTAAATCTAAATTGACATCATTAGCCATTTTTAACCACGGAATAATATATTTTAATTTATATGATTCTAAAATATATTTAAATGCGTATAACGCGGAGAGTCACCTAGTTAATTTGTAATTAAGTTGAGAATTAATATATATTTTGTATCGGTTTTTTGATTAAAACGATGGAGCAGCCCGTCCTAGACTTTTGAGCTGGGGGATTAATATTATATTAGAGAGTCAGTAACTGACAATTATTGAACCCTTTACAAAGAAACTACTTATATATATTGTTGTATCGTGGATTATACAATAAACCAAATCAATTACGAGAAAAGTATAAACAATGACTAGATCGATTACCAGAAAATAAAAAACACACACTGACCATGACTAAAACAAACTAAAGAAAATGACCAGATCGGCCGCGACTGTCGGTTCCCACGAGGTACTTCTGCACGATGCGCGGGACAGGTATGAGAATTGACTATACCAACTTAATTATG